ATGCCAAATAGGAAGAAAAGGTCCAAAGGGGTAGGGGTAGTGGGAGGGGCAGGGGAAAGGAAAGAAGGGAAAGGAAAAATGATGAGAAACGGAAAAAATGGAAATAAAGTCTTTGTAAATAGGGAAGGGTGGAGGGGGTGAAGGGAAGGCTGGGAATGGGGAAAAAATAAGAACCAAGATGCATCACGTAAAGGTACAAGTTCCCAATGAGAAATGTAATTGTGTTGTATACTTAAAATGCACCAATGAAAGAATTTAAGAAAAAAAAATACCATAGTGTGTCACTCCAAAATTGATGGTGTTTATTTATTTATTATTATTTTTTTTTGATACCAGGGATTGAACTCTGGTCTTTGTGGTTTTGAGGCAGGCGGTGCAACCACTGAGCTAAATCCCAGGCCCAAATTGATGCTTTTAATGAGCAATTTATTCTAACTTTATAAACAAGCTTTTCATCTCCTCCAATGTTTTGAACAGATTATATAAAAATGGAAATTATCTTGTCTTTGAAAAGCACAAAAACCTTACTAGGAAAAAAACATCCATTATAAAAATGCAATGTTTAAAGTGAAGAAATTGGAGGTAATAGCTTGTTAATGGAATAAATATCTTTTCACACACATGTGGCTACTTGTACTTAAAATTATGAAAGCCTTAAATCTAATAGATATTCTTGGGAAACATGTGACTTAGTACTCTGTCAACTTCTAACCTCACTCATCACCATATTCCACCTGTCTTCTACCATTCTGCCTTGATAAAGGTCATGAAACTTTCACTCTGCAGCCATTGCTCTAGGGCAGGTGGCTACAGGGTGAGTCTGGATGACTGTCACACATTCCTGGTGGCCCTTCTTCACTTTCTTTCTCATGACACTTGTACAAATTCTGTGCACAAGAGCCAAGGTATCTATTTCCAAAATGTTCTGTGTATTTACTGTTTTACAACACAATGCTGTCCAACATAGGAAATCATTGTTAGATATTTAGCTGTCTAAAAAAATGCATAGTAACTACAAATGCAAACACAATTGTTAAAAAATAAACAGCCAGATGTGGTGCTGCATGCCTGTAATCCAGCACTGGGAGGCTGAGGAGGGGGATTGCAAGTTCTAACCCCTCTCTAGAGCAGTGGGGTGGGATGTAGAGCCCTGGGAGAGAGATTGTCTTAGCCAGAACCTGTCTAAAAATAAAAAGGGCTGGGAATGTAGCTCAGTGGTAGAGGGCCCTAAGTTCAGTCCTTAGTACTGCAAAAATAAACAAATAGCTAAACAAAAACCAAAAACCACTCAAACACAACAGGGGATCCTACGAATAAATATTAAAACAAGTGGTTTTCAATTTGCTTAAGCTGATCTTTATCCTTTATATGTCTCCAATGGAATGGGTTATTTTTCCACATTATTGTTCCCAACACAAAAACAAAAATGTAAGCTATGGAATCATTAATTCCAGTGCTTCCAGAATGGTTCACAAACCCCATTTTCTAGAGCTTTTCCTAGCAGAGAGGAATGAGATATGTACATCATGAGCACTTTAATGTAATTTACTCATCTTTTCTCTCTAGGAAGTACCATGTGAATTGCCATTATTAAATGCTCAATAAATATCTGTTGAACATTATTAAATGAATATAATATTGGGTACTTTGGAGGAAAATCTAACTTTTTTTGACCAATAAAGTAGATGTTTTAAAAGAATGTTTCCATATTTAAATCTTATAATCAAGTGACTTTTCTTAAAATACCACTCTTGAACTCTCTAAAGTACTGATGGCAGCTGATCTGCAATACTTTTCATTGCTTGTGTGGTTTCCCTTTCATCTGACATGCCAATTTCCTCCAAGTTTACCTTGTAACATGACCAAAGACTGTCGCAGCCGGCTGTTTTCCTTCCGAGTGTTTGTTAGTTTTTCTTTTAGGCTTTTTATCTTGGCACACAACTCCTCCTTGGACAGCTCTGCCAAGGGTATCTCGTCCTCACTGGAGCTCTCTCCAGGCAGAAAGGCGTTTCCCGAATATGGGACTCTCTAGAATATGGGCAAGCACAGGGAAAGAAGGGTCATGGCACCTGGAGTGGTTTCTCCCAAGCTCTGTGTGCCAGAGAGGGTTCATCAGGCCCACAAATTTCTGTTCCCACAAGCACTTTGTGCTATCAAACAGCTCCCAGCTTGTCCTTGACCATCCAGAAGTTCTCAGGATAAGGGAAGAACAGAGTTTCCTGCATATGTGCCTCTTTTGAAGTAGAAACCAGGATTCTGACTTTCTGCTTAGCTTCAGCGAACAATACCAAGCAGCACAGTGGACCCCCCAAATTTGCGGGGGTTATGTTCCTAGACCACCCTCGAATTGTGAAAAACCGTGAATTTCAGATATGGTCAGAAAAATATCTATTTTTATAATTTAAACCCTAGGGCCGGGGATTTAGCTCAGTGGTTTCGCTGTCTGCTGTGCAAGCACAAAGACCCGAGTTCGATCCCTGGTACCAAAAAAAAAAAAAAGAAATGTAAACACTAATTTAAACCCTAAATATGCTACATCTCCTGCAGTTATGTGATTTAACAAAATACTGTACTAATAAAGCTTTAGAGGTGCAGGGCATTTTGGCGGCATCTTAGAGATCTTAGGGCTTTAAGAACAAAACCAAACCGAGAGCACTGGAGACAGCTACACGTGGTAGACGGGTTCCAGGGCAGCAAGCAGCAAGGAGAACTGAATAACACTCTTGGATTAGCTACTTGCAAACCTCCCTCCAAAAAAACAATTGCTGAGGATATTCGCAATTTTCCAGAAATTGTGGGGGTTTCTGAAAACAATTATTAGTTAGGTTCTAAGAAAAAAATCTGCAAGCAACTGAGGCCGCGAACTTTGAACAGCTACTTCACAGGGGTATACTGTCTTAGCACAACACAGTAGAATAAACAAGACCATTAAAATCTGTGCCACGGCCTGTCTTAGGTCAAATGCCTCATAATCTGAACTGGACTTCCTTCATCTGTAGAGTTATACATAAATATTGTTTAATAAAATAGGAAACCTTAACAAGATGGTGAGAAGTACAAAATTTATTGCTTCCATGTGCCAACTACAAATAGTGGCCAGTGTTCAATAGGGCACCACATGTTAAGTCCGAAAAGTAGTTACCTGTAGGACCAAGTATGGGGTGGTAGTCACAAGGGTGCAGGAGGGCATTTTATGGATGCCAGTGGTCTAATTTTTGGTGTGGATAGGTTCCATTTGTAACACTTCATCAAACTGTACATTCTTGGTATATGCATTCCTTGTATGTATTAATATACTTCCATAAATTCCATTAATGTACTTCCATAAAATGTTTCTTTAAAAATCTCTAGGAAATAAATTTTCATGTGCCTCTTCACAGTTTCCGATCCCTATAGCTTATATATTGCACATTTATGCTTAAATCTTGCTCTGAGATGTCATTAATACATAACAAAATATGTGCAAGATCATTACGAATACTGTGAAAAAGCTTTATTGAAAGATGACCATGGGCTGTGCTACAGCTCAGTGACAGAGCACTTGCCGAGTATGTGTGAGCCCCTGGGCTCCATCTCCAGCACTGTCATCTAGAAATACATCATATTCAGGGCTGGGGATTTAGCTCAGTGGTGCCAACACCCGCCTCACAAGCACAAGGTCCTGAGTTTGATCCCTGTAGATACCATGTTTAAATATAAAAAGCCATACTATAAAAATAATAATTATCCTCAAATTGAAGTATAGAGTTAATACAGTTCTGCCAAAAATCTGAAAGTATTGGAGGTAAATTTCATTTTAAAATTTAGGTGAAAGATCAGAAGGCTAAAAATATCCAAAGAAATTCTCAGGAAGTATAATAGAGTTTTTCTTTACATGTACAAGGGCTTACTGAAAATCTGGAGCAATTAAAACAATACAAGTAGGTAAAGGGATAGACAGTACAGTCAAGAGATAGAATAGAGAAGCCAAAAACAGACACAAAAACATGAAGAACTTGAGTTATGCTAGAGTGGCACAGAGGCTCCTGGGGGGATGGATTCTGTTCAACAACGAAGCTGGAAAAACTGATGAATGATTTGGTAAAAAGATAAAGATGAAGGACCCCTACTTCATTACACGCACACGCACACGCATGCGCGCACATACACACACTCCTGCAGATGGATCCAGAACTTAAACATCAAAAGTAAATCTTTAAGCTGTATAAGAAAATAATTGTAGGGCCGGGGCTTTAGCTCAGTGGTTCTGCTACCTGCCTCAAAAGCGCAAGGATCCAAGTTCGATCCCTGGTACCAAAAAAAGAAAAAAAAGAAAATAACTGTAGATATATTTTGACCTCTGGACAGATTTTAAATATAAAATCACTGGTCATAATAAAAGAGTAATACATTAAACTAAAGTAAAATTAAGAACTTCTGTTAGTTAATGAACATTTAAAGAAAGGGGAAAGACATCAAACCAATGGAAGACATGTATTTGCAGTGTTAACTGATAAAGGTGTGTGAGTGTGTGTGTGTGTCTTTTTTCCTCTACAAAGGAAAAATAACCTAGAACCTCAACAGAAAAATTAGCAAATAACATGAACAAGTTAGAATAGGAAATACATAGGCCAATAAGTATACGAACAGATGCTCAACCTCATTAGCAGTTAAGAAAAAGAAAATCAAGTCTGGGGCACAATATCATTGAAACATCATGATGAAATATCATTTGGGGCAAACATTAAGGAGTTTGACAAAACCATGCATAGAGTGGACATGGATCCCTGGGGTTTCCTATATGTTGCTAGTAGAAACAAAAAATTGGTATACTACTTTGGAAAACATTTGACATTATCACAACTGTTCCCTTGCAATTGATTCTTAGGTCTATAAGCAAAACAAACTTTAATATGCACATGCAATGAAATATGTCCAAGAACTTTTAATATCAGCACTGCTGTGTCTCCTTAAACCTGCAATAGCAAATTACAATGAGATATTTTCATCTGTCAATTTGGCAAAAATTAGAAATACAGGTATTAACACTTAGTTTTGGAAGAGGAATATAAATACAGCGACCCCTTATGCATTGCTGCTGCGCAGGTAGAGTGATGAACATTCTGAAAAACAGTCTTATGATATCTAATCAAATGAACCGAAATAAACATGTAGTTTGTAAGCCATAAATCCCCCTCCTGTGTATTTATCCCAAGGATATTCTCATGTTACATCTTTTTTTTTTGTACCAGGGATCGAACTCAGAACCTTGCGGCTCACATTGTATCTTAGAAGACACATATGAAGATTTTGTCATTGTTTGTGGAAGCAAGATGCTGGAGGTAATCTAGGGATCCATCACTGGAGGAACCAATAAATAAACACAGTACAAATAAAACAATGGTTAAATGCAAGGCAGCAGATGTGCAGGCAGCAATACAGACAGATGCTGAAAATAGTACTGACTGTATGGAAATGGCCTGAGTGTCCAACAGTGGATGAAATAATAATTAAACTATTACATACATACATATGTATGTGTGCATATGTATATAATGGCATACTATCCAGCCTTAAAAAAGAATAAATCTCGCTATTTGCTACTATGTGGATGAACCTCAGGACATTATAGTAAGTCAGACATGGAAAGAAAAACATTTCATGGTATCATTCATATCTAGAATCTAAAATAAAACAAACAAACCCCTCAAATATACATAGAGAATAAAACAGTGGTTCACCTGTGGCAGGTGGGGAAGGGGGTTAGAAAATGGGAATATTAAAAACAAAATAAAAAATAAGAAAATGGGAACATAGGTCATAGGATACATAGGATACAAAATCAAACAAGTCTAGAGATACAATGTTCAACATGAGGACTGCAAGTAACAAAACTGTACTACGTTTAGTATTCATGCTAAATAAAAGGATTTTAGCTACTCTCACCCTACAAATAAATGGAAATAGATAACTGTGTAAAATGATGATAGTGTTCATTTTTTCACTACAGTAACATTTTCATTATTTATATTTATCATATAACATCATATTATATACCTGAAATTTTATAATTATAACTTATTATTAAAATAACACTGACTGGAACAATCAGAAACAAATTAAGGTTTGTATTATGATATCAATACTGGTAAATGATGTATACAGGAGGTTGACAGTGCAGTGTGATTTATAATTTTAAAAGATTGAAAACAACCCCATGTATCATAGGAGACTCGTTAAATAAAGGGTGGAGTAATACGGAGCTGTAAAAAAGAGAAAGCTATTAATGGAAAGATCTTCAAACTATAGGGCAATAGAGGGAAATACAAAGCAGTATAAATGGTAAGTTACTTTTTATTCCAAACAGGACTAAGAATGTATATTCATATTTACTTTATTTGAACAAAGAAACACAGGAAGGACAAATAAAAATGAACGGCAAGAAATGTGGTTACCTGTAGCGAGGAGGGGTGTGTGTAAGGGGTAGGATTGGGTTTGAACAGGGTAGGTAGGAGACAGGAATATGAAGGGAATTTTCACTGTTTATCTTTTAAAAAAGTTTTAAACCATAAGAATGCAACATAATTAAAGAGTGAAATAATATATAAACACAAAACACTACATGTAATACAAAGACATATACAAATACATGTACTAGAAAGATATACAAATAATACAGAATAAGCACATCAATTGGCTGTCTAAAGTATATGAGGGGAATGGATTATGAGGTGGCTATGAATTTGGAATATGAAAAGAAGAGCAAGCAGTAAGTTTTAAAGAAGAGGTATTCAGTTTCTCTAATATGTTTTTTGGGGGGATATTTTTTTTGGTACTGGGATCAAACTCAGGCTCTAGAGCTTGCCAGGCAGGCGCTGTGCTGCTGAGCTAAATCCCCGGCCTGGAAAAATATTTTCTGACAATTTGTGCATCTTTAATTTCCCAGAATCACAAGCAAAGTTTGAACAATGTCACCTTTGGCCATAATTAAACAAAACTAGGCAGATCATCTATTGAATATGTTTCTAACTCAACCTGTTTGACATTAAAAAGAGAGCATGAAACCATATTCCCTTAATTAAATAAAGAATTAAATGGAAGAATAAATTAATAGACTAGGATAAGTACAAATAAATTATTATGAGAGGAATTGTGGTAGTGCTAGACAATAAAATTAAATCAAGGCAACAGAAAACCAACCTGTCCTTTATCCATGTCATTATTTGCATTTTCTGAGTCCATTGTCTCTGTCCTTTTCCTCTTTCCTTTTCTAAGAGCTTCAGTACTGATGATTTCATCCGTCTGCAAGATCTTCTGCATTTTCTTAATTAGTTATCACAGGTTTTTCTGAAACTGTAGGAGGCAATGGGAATGCCCATGTGGATGATGCTATTCTGCATATAGCCCCAAAGTTACTATTTTTCCTTAAAAACAAAACAGAAAGGATATATATTATATAGGATATATATTACATGTATATATGATATATATGATATATTTACAAATCTATGTTTCATAATGACACTACCCACTCAGGTAAACTTTCACTACATGCTTCCTACAGTTCTTCCTCCTACCTACAAACTTCACTGTATGTTTTCATTGGATTCAAAAGCCTTTATGTTCCAAGATCATTATGAGGCTGCTCAGGATGTGATACACAGTGGGGTGTCCCTTACAAAATAAAGCAGTGTAATGTAAAAAATTTTACACCTTTATAATTTTTTTCTTGTCAAATAGCTATGAAGAATCTAAAAAAATAAGTTGCAATCTTATAAATAGTATCACAGATGGCTGAATTTATATATTTTAGGAAAAATATGTAGTAGAAAAATAATAGTAGACCTCACCAGGACCAAGAACCAAAACTGACCCAGGGAGAACAATAAAAATTTTTGGAAGTCGCCTGCTGTGCAAACACAAGGACCCGAGTTTGATCCCTGGTACAAAAAAAAAAAAAATTTTTTTTGGAAGGTTGTTTTTCGTTTACTTTAAAAAAAAATAATTCTAAAGTCTTAAGATGGAAGATTTTTCTTGGTACAAATTGAAGAACTGTTCTATTTGGGTCGAAACAATGAAATTGAACTTTTAGTTCTTAACATCCTTAGCACTTGTATGTATTGGTTTGTTTTCATGAAAAAAACATTTAGTTATAAATAATAAAACTTTACAGAAGGAACTGAGCTTAGAAATCTTCAAGAAATATATGGACCATTGAGCAGATGGTAACATTATGTTTCTTATTAAATTTGTACTAAGTATTTATATAGAAAATATGGTTCTTTTGTCTATCTTAAGTAAAAGCCATTATACTTTATTCCAACCTTAAAAATGGATGATCTTGATTTTTGAAAACTTTATGCTTTTAAACACATTAATAGTACTATGATTACACATAGGACTGTATTAGCAAACTAGCCTAGAAATATCAGAGATCTTACCCAGTATAACGGTTTACTCATAATTTTAAAGGTATAAGCAATCAAAAAGCACAGGCAAAGTTGGGAAAGATCTTAGGCATCCTGCTGGCTTCTGAAGTCCTTCTTTCTCATCTCATGTATGTACTTCATGGTCCAGAATAATGGGGAGGCCTCTAAGTTAGGTTTCAGGGTCACCTCATGTAATGGGGAGTGTGGAAGCTGTGACTTATCTCTATTTTACTTTTCAGAATTGTGTAACTTGCATGACATTCCCCAGGGAACTGTATATCCATAAATTCTATGGATGCTTGCCATAAGCAAAGCTAAACTAAGGATATACCATTAGTTCACAGACTTCCTGTGTAAATGGCTTAGACAGTAAATATTTTAGACACTAAAAGATGAGGTACAAATGTAGGACATTATATACTGTAGATACTTATACAACAAGAGGGAAAATAAATTATCATAATATTTTTATTTACAAAATTTGAAATTTTGTAAGACAGATTAACCAATAGAAAGAGTGGAGTCAAAAATAAATTTTGCTTAACTGGAGTTCAAAGTTTCTATTAGATATCATCAAAATCTATTGCAAATGCTCATTTTTAAATACTGGTCTATAAAGAGATTTTACATATTTCCTCTTTGAAGATGTTCTTCACACTGAGAAGTACAGGATTAGAATATGTTAACGTAAATCCATGAGTTTAGAACTTTAAGATAAAATTCACACAATGTAAAATTCACCATTTTAACCATTTAAAAGTATGTTTTCAATGGCTTTTAATATATTTGCAAAATTGTACAAACATCACTAAGAAACTTTTACCTCCCAATATGAGCTGAAAATTTTAATTGAGCACATTTATCTCTTAGAAGACTACTGCATAATTCTTTTAAGTTCTCTTAATATTTACCTTTCAGTGGGTCATTATCATGCAGATTAATTACTTCAGATTAAAGGTCAGGTGAAAAATCCTGAAGTGAACAATAAAATGGTTGTGAAACACGGAAATTTTCTTGGTTTTTATTTTGTAGTCAGAAAGGCAAGGCTGGCTGGGGATTTAGCTCAGTGGTTCCACTGGCTGCCTTGCAAGCACAAGATCCCGAGTTCAATCCCTGGTACCAAAAAAAAAAAAAAGAAAGAAAGAAAGAAAGGCAAGGCTGGAACTATAATTTGAACTTATATCCAATGCAAATCTGAGTGAGAATGAATATTTCATTTAATTTTTGCCAATAAGTGAAGTATAAAAGGGAAACTGACATTATTTGAATCACAAATTGTTACTGAAAAGACTTTACTTCAATACAGTTTTTGCATATAAATGTTTCATCATGTAATTTTGTCTTGTGATTTCTTAATAAATTCATCTGGGAAACATTATCCAGTCTGTAGCAAAAGTTTATTTCCAAAGCCATTCAATGTTCTATGAGTGGTCAATGGCAGTTCTTGTTCACAAAAATTTCAATCTTGGTCCTAGCCTCAAACATTTGCAGCAAACTTTTGTCACTTATAAGTTACTGAAATGTCGTGTAGTTGGGAAAGTCAGAATATTCTTCTATTTCTATTCAACTATTTTGGGGGGAGGTAGGTACTAGGCACTGAACCCAGGGTTTCATGTATGCTAAGTGTATACTCTACCATTAAGCTACCTTCCTTGCCCTCCAACTTCTATTCAGGGAGAAATTCATGGAACTGGTAACAGTCACATTCACAAGCATGAAGTACACTATGGACACTATTGGTTCAATAATGTATGTCATTTTCAGAAACTGCTAATGTGATCTTAACTTTTGTAATGTTGGGTGGGGACTAAACCTAGGGCCTCACAATGCTACACAAGTACTCTGCCATGTAGCTACACTCCCAACCCTTAAAATTTACATATATAGAAATGCAAGAGACTGAGAATGGTCAAACTAATATTGAAAGAGAATAGTCATATTTATTGAGACAGAAATTAGATAATTTTTTTAGATAAAATGTTTTTTAAAATAATTGAATTGTGGTGACAGTTGCAAAATCCTGTGTTATGCCTTGTATCTAGATTTCTCCCCAATGCCTCATGTGGTCATAGGTGGGGCTTTTCAGAGGTGGCTGGATCTAGGGTGTCTGATGCTGGGATCAAGGATGGGATGCTGGGATTGACTCATGATGCAATGCTAGGATTGAGGGTGTGAGTGCTGCCCTAAGGGCAGGTAGCCTGGGTAAAATATAAGAGACTGAAAGAGGGGTGTGGTCATTATTGGTCCTTGATTGTTGTTTGTCACTTGCTTGTCTCTTGCTGACTTCTGCCTGCCCTGCTTTGCCATAAACTGTTTCTCCTCGTGATGTCCTCTGCCATGCCACTCTGCCTCACAGCCAGCCTCCTATGGACCGAAACCTCCACAAACTGTGAGCTAAATAAACCTTTCCTTCTTTAACTTTAGGTGTCGGGTATTTTGTCTCAGCAATGAGAAACATAACTAAGACACCCTGTGAAAATATATGTATATATAAAACCCTCACACTAAATTGTACCCTTTAAATGAATGAAATGCATGGTAAAGTATATATACATATATATTTGGGGGGGGTACCGGGGATCGAACTCAGGACCTTGCACTTGTGAGGCAGGTGCCGGAACCACTGAGCTAAATCCCCAGCCCAGTAAAGTATATTTTAATAAAGCTTTTATTTTATTTTTGCCAGCATCAGATTCATTTATTTTATGTCCTTACAAAGTTAATTATCATAGAGATTAACAGCCAGACTAACAGGCCAAAAAGCATAAAACACATAAGACAATTATACCAAATCAAGGTACATGTTTATTTATTTAGGACAGGGTCTCATAATGTAGTTCAGGCTGGCCTTGAACTCATAGAGATTCTCCTACCTCAGCCTCCTAAGTGCTGGGAGCCCTGCTATTGATCCTTGTAGCTAAGGCTTATTGTTTCCGAATATTTTAGATAATCTTCATTTCACCTTTTCAAAACCTCCCCTTACCTTGATCTTCTTAAATGCACTCACAGTTTAGAATAGCACATGTATCCCCATGGTAATGATATTTCAGCCCCAAATAAACTTAATTAATCTTTTGAGAATCTCTACTTGCTAGACTGATAAATTGAACATAACCACAGCCATGATAAAACTCAAGATATGTGGCTGGATAATATAAGCCAATGGCTTTTTATGTTTTTTTTTTTTTTTTACGGCAACTCACACACACAAAAACACATTTTAGGGGACAGACAGAGGGAAGGAACAGAAAACACATTTTGATCCAGAAAACACAAACACATATGTGCATGCATGTGTATATGCACAAGGAAAACTAAAACAAAATTTCATAAAATATATTTACTCTTACTACATGCAACATATCCTCTTGGTTTCTGTTTATCTACTCTTAACTCATTTTTGAAAGCACAGGTCACAGTACATTAAATTGTTTTCACAACTCACTAATGGGGTTGAAAAACAATGTCTGTCATAAGCCACAATCACATTATAAAAAGATGATATCAAAAAATAAGATGGAAGGGCCAGGGATTTAGTTCAGTGGTTCCACCACCTGCCTCACAAGCGCAAGGACCCAAGTTCGAGCCCCGGTACCAAAAAAAAAAAAAAAGAAAGAAAGAAAGAAGATGGAAAAGGGGTAGTTGTATAGCAAATGTAATTAAAAACATAACTTTTCAATGCATTTATATTTACTTTTAACAAATCAATGATAAAATTAATGCAATAATTCAAAAGCCAGTCTGAAATTCTTAGAAACAAAAGTAACCAAACTTAAGAAATGAACATCAACATATAGTTCAAGTGTCTCATATGCCTTTGTATTTAAGTAAATTCTCTATTATGAATTAAACAAAAATTATAAAAGGCAAATAATAGCACTACAGCAAAACCTAAGTATGCTTTCATAGATTTCAAAAGATTTATATTGCTTTGTATACATATCAGTTTGGGTATATACAGACATAAAAGCTCCTTACATTACTCGGTTCAGAATATGAACAAAAACTCCCCCCAAATGAATCCAAAGAGCCAGGAAATAGTGCCAGTGTAATTCTAAATATCTTGTAGCTGTTTCAGTGATCTCTGAGGAATACACAACTAGTTTTAGCTTAGCCTCTTGGCAAGGTGGGACATGAGGGAGGGAGATATCCATATTACTTCTTAGAAATCATACAGTATTGCTAAAGAAAGAAAAGTCAAGATTGGAATGGGTCTGATCAGGCTCAGAACATTCCAACACCAACAGTACATATTGCATGCAGCTGAATGAACAAATGGCTTTCTCATCAAAGGTTCTTACCCTGTGAAGGAAAGTTACTAGGTTCTGTAATGTCTATTAGGAAGATTTCAACTGACTTCTTCCACTTCGTCTATTTTCACATGATGTCACGCACATTTTAAATTCTCAAGTAATTCCTGCAATATCCTGATTAAGAAGATGTCATATACTTTATGATGATTCAATAGCCCTGCCAAACTATAGCATTGCTTAGAGGGATGAGTAGAATATGAGAAGCCTAAAAACATTCAGTATGTCTGAGGGAATACAGACCTGAGCCATTTTAAACTTTCCTTGATGGGAAGGAAAAGAAAAGCATTCTTATTTGGCCAGAGTTTATGACTGTTCTTTTGTTGAAGCTAATTTTATGAATATATTATGATATCATGCATTGTCATGTTTATAGCCATTACCTAATAAAGGAATTAATTTAGTTCCCTAATAGCCCTACATGATGTCTTCAGATCTTACCAATCCTGTCTCTTTCACTTAATGAGAGTAAAAATGTAGCTAACATTTATTGAGTTTCACTGTCTTACCATATATACATACATATACACACATATACAAATACATACATCGATATGTGTATATATAACTGTCTTAAGGATTTAACCTTAATTACTAATTTGTTTAACCCTTACAGAAAGCCTTCAGTGTAGATACAAATAATATTTACACTTTAAAATGAGGGAACTGGCGTCTCCAGCAGGCCCTGACAATAGCTCCCAGCTGCTCACTGCAAGCAAACTAAACCAGGATTTTCATCAAGTCAGCAATGCAACAGGTTAATTCTAGTGGTTAGATTGTTCTGTGGACCTAGCTGCTTACCTGACTCCCGTCTACATTTTGGCCCTATAGTTCCATTCTCCCAGAGACAAGGGTCTTGACCTGCTCATCATCATGGGTAAAGACTGCAGAACTGCCCAGAACCCAGGGCTCCAGACTCCTTCTGCGTCCCTCAGATCTTCTCTAGCATCTCCATTCTGTAATCCTAGAGGTGACCTCAATGGTCTCCCTTGCCTTCCTTCCAGCTGAGGTCAGCCATTGGAATGTCTAGTTACTGTTCAGAAAAGGAGGGAGGACAGTGATAGGAGACTTTATCTTCCCGGCTCCCTTCCTTGGGGTGGCTTCAGATTTCATAGCAGCACTGCTGATATAACTCACTTCCTTCAGTTTGCAAAAATCACTGCCTTTTCTCTCTCTTTTGTCCAGGGCTGGTACGCTGCTTCTGTGATTAGCCCTACTGCACAGCGTTCCCCCTCATGCTTTCTCTATGTCCAGCCTACATTTTCTGAAATAGCACCTTTGTTAAAGCTTCCTAAAATCCTCCCAATGTTAATGTATAGCCCTCTGTTCCTATCTATTATAGCAGGGTGGGGTTCCGCATACCTTCTCACTGCCTGTGTGCCTACTTATTTATTGTCAACCAGTAAATTCCTTCTGGTGCCAGAACTCTCATGTGTTATCTCCCTTTGGACATCTGATACTGACAATGCACCCTGACTTAACCAACGTGTTTACTGGAGTATTACCACAGCACTGATTAGGGTTGGTATTTCTGATTTCAATGTTTTGACATGGTTCATCATACCACTGGTCAAGCTCCATTTCCAATGGCGAGGGTTAGTTAAAAGAAAACAAGGCAAAAAACTGTTCTTTTCTCTTTCTGCATAAGCACTCTGATCTCTATCACTGGATCAATACCACTGGTATTGCTCATGCCACTGGCTTTACACACAGCTTCATCATCTGAACTAAAATCTCTGTTGCTCCTGAGCTGGCAAAAGAACCATGAG